TGACCATGATTGCATGTCATGCTCTCTGGGGTCTGATGCTTGTTAAAATGAGTATAATTCACATAGTTTCAACTGGAATTTTGTCTATACTTCTGAGAGCATGGCTGACAGTGCTGTTTACTCCTTTAGGGCCAATGAGGCTGTGACCGCCAAGTTACAACATTCTAAGGAGGGGAATATTGTAACTTGTGGCAGTGAAATGGTGGCTGATCCCTGTGGCCCAAGTGCTCATTGTTTAGCGTCTCTTGTTTGTGACAGTAACAACTAGAGCCTGCATCCATGGAAATTTAGCAACCTACCTCAATGACAGCAAGGTCTGGGCCTAGAAGTATAGATGATGACACTATATTGGAGAACTGTACTTTCAGCCACACAAGAATACAAACTGGAGACAAGGGTGTGCATGAACAACAAGAATTAATGATATCTTCAAAAAGATTATACTTATTCAAAGTGTGCAGTTCAGTTACACCTAGGCTGAGCCCCACCATGCTAGGTGCTACACAAACTTATAGGAGAGGGGTCAGCAACCTTTCAGAAGTGGTGTGCCAAGATTTAACTTGTTTACGTTTATTTATGGATCTACGTGCCGGCGGCAGGCTGGGGAAGGCTGGGTACGGTGACCATATTTTCTGAACGAGCTGCAGCTAAGAAGAGTGGTTTAATTTTAATGATTAAACAGATAAAGCATTTTAACTTTCTCATGTTAGTTTCTCAAACTTCATTTTAAACAAAGTAAAATATTAATTTATGTCCAACGCAAAAGGTTTCAATACTCTGGTCATCTGAAGAAGTGGGTTGCGCCCACGAAAGCTCATGATACCATCTACGTGTTTTGTTAGTCTTTAAATGCTACTAGTCTATTTGTTGCTTTTCTTTATTTATAGCAGGGGTGGGGAACCTTTTTTTAGGTTGGGGCCACTGACTCACAGAAAAATCATTTGGGGACCACACAAGTAAGAAAGAAGAAGAAGAAGAGGAAGTTCAGTTTCTGCAAAGTAAAATTGTATCCCCCCCCTCACAGCTTCCCTCTGCTCCAGCCTTGCTCCCCTCAGTCCCATGATCTCCCCCCCCCCACAGCCTGACCCCCTGCATCACTCCATATCCCTCAGTGCAACCCCTGCCCCCTCCCATTCTGCCCCCATATCCTCCTTCACCCACCCTACCACCACATCCCTGTGTGCCCTGCGTTCACACTGGCAGGGCAGCGGCGCTGGGACTCGCAGCTCCCTGGGAGCGGAGCAGCGCTGCGGGCGGGGGTCAGGGGAGGAGTGCAGAGTCACTTCTCTGCCCAGTTCAGCCCTTTGCCAGGGCTCGCCCCTCACCTGCAGGCTGTGGCTCTGGGGCAGGCAGAGCCCGGGGCTGGCTCGGAGCTGATTCCAGGCACAGTGGGGCACTGGGGAAAGGCTCCCTGCCCCTGCACATACCTCACAGGGAGCAGCAGGTGCAGCCCAGGCCCTGGCACCCTAAGAAAGCGGCAGCAGCTTGTGACCAGCTGCCTTGCCCTGGGGCTGCAGAGGAGCCCCCG